TTTTTTTCTCTCAATCCTCTCTCTCTCTCTCTCTCTCTCTCTCTCTCTCTCTCTCTCTCTCTCTCTCTCTCTCTCTCACTCTTTCTCTCAGCAACACACATACACTCACCTGTGCGCCCATGCGTGCACGTGCACACAAGTGGATCTTCCGCGCTTGAGCAGAGTGTGCACACACTAGCACGCATAGTAAACAACACTTAGACACAGATTTTTGCAGGCTTCAAAAAAAAAAAAATTTTTTTTTAATTTTTTTTTATTTTTTATGATTGTTTGACGAAATCCGCGATGCACCGAGCCGCGATAAACGAACCGCGAAATAGCGAGGGATCACTGTATCTTTTTTACCAACTAGTGTTTTGTGGGCGGTGCGTGCAGCAGCCAGCTTTGGGACATCATGAAAGCGGTGTGTCTGCCACACGGGGAAAGGTGGGGTTTTAACGAACCAGGCATTTTAATTGCAGGTTAGAAAAATAGACACCAAAATGACTCATATTTTATAAGAAATTAGATGGCCATTGTGCCACGGGTAAATATATAATTAGATCTATATCTATAGTTTACTGTAGATAGCTTAAAATAGCATGATATGGCCACTCTAAGATTTTATTTTGGATTTAATATGTGTAATCATTTTAATTTTAAGCACTGTTTTAATACTGAGCTCCTTCTTGTCCTCAGAAACTCCCACTTCTGGAAGCGAAATGCAATGTGACGCATCACAAGACAAGACCCACGTCCAATCTAATCATCCTCAGGATGCAATCGGCCGGCCAACTGTTGTGTCGAGTCCCACATCGCTGCAGAGTCCACTTCTTCATCAGCAATTGATCATTGATTGTGAGGATAAGCTGAGAAAAGATGAGGACTCAACAAGTGGAATTGCCGCAATGCCACTGGAAGTAGACGATCGTAGCAATTGGGAGGAATTACAAATATGTGCAAGCAATGGCATGACACCACCACTAGATAGTTCTTCCAATGAGTATCACAAAGACTTTCCAAATGACCATCAAATACCAAGTTCTGAGTCACCCTTTATGCCAATTCGTTGTCTTTCAAAGCACAAAGCAGCGGAAAAAGATGAACAGTTGGTATCGAAGCATTCCCCCAAGACTGAAGATAATGCGGTGGCGCTGGCCAAAGCTGCGTGGTGTGCTGAAGCTCCCAACTCCACTGAGCAGCAAAACCACAGCGCTACTTGTACTTCAAGTGCTAATCCATTCCAGTCTAATGCCCCACTGTGTGGAAAGAAATCCATGACTGCAAGTGGATTGATAAACAATCAGCAGTGTACGAAGGGAAGTACAAGTGACATTTTGGGTGTTTGTACTATTGAGACTGTAACCCTGACAAGAAAGAAGGATGAATCTTTTGGCCTGGACCTGGAGATCATGTCATCACCTCTGAAAGTTGTCATCAATGGGCTAAAGCCTGGAGGTGCAGCCGAAAGGGTATGTCTCATTTTATGGTGTTATTTTAACATCTATTAATGTAGACCGCCTAAAAAAAATCAAAGTAATAAAATGTACGTTGAAGACTAAATTAAAAATAGAAAGCTTTTTTTTTTTTTAAATGTTCAATATACGAGGGTCATTCAATAAATAGGGTGATTTTTTTTTTCGATACAAGGACTTCTAATACAGATAGAAGCTTACTTTTTTCTTTTTCTTTTTTTTTTTTCCAACGTAGTCTCCCAGCACTGTCACACACTTTTCTCCTCTGTGTACATGCTTCCATATTCCCTCAGCGTAAAACTCTTTGGACTGATGTCTCAGCCAGTCGCTCACTACACTTTTGACTTCATCATCACTTTCAAACTTTGTGCCTCTCGTAAATGTTGGAAAGGAACCAAACAGGTGAAAGTCTGAAGCGCCAGGGTCTGGCCTGTCAAGGGGATGAGGTAGCAGTTCCCAGCACAGCTCGTTGATGGTCAGCGCCGTTGAGGCTGCTGTGTGAGGCTTTGCGTTGTCATGATGCAAGATGAGTCCTTCTGACTGATGACCACTGCGCTTGTTATTTGTCTTTCTTGACCTGCCTCAGCAGCTCACAGTAGTTGGCACAAAGTTTGTGCATACATACTTTCACACCTGCGCACTCCCCACATAGATACTGTACGTCACACTTCCAGAGACGTGAGTGACATTCCAACAGTCCTCTGTGATGCCAATATGCTTTGAGTCGCTCTGACTCGAAACGAAAAATTCTAATTCGGTGTTCGTTTTCAGCAGCCAATTTACAACTCAATTCGACTCACCGCCGATTCGTGCACAGCTGTAATTAGAAGGGTGGTAAAGGTGCTGTTTGCCCCGGAGAGCAGGTGGAAAGGCAATATGGCAAGAAGCTTAGGAACTGGTCTAAAATTATTTTCTTGTAGTGTAGTTTTGTGTGAATTTGTTAAGAATGTCCTGGAGGTTATGAGTGTCGGATGGAGTAATAAGGTTGAAGCTTGAAATGAAGGGTGTAATTTTTTAAGACCCTGTAAAGTGATTGAAGAGATTTGTTTCTAAATACATTTTATAGTGTATGTTTGAATATAATTGCCAAAAATTTGTTCAAAGATTGAGAACGATGAAGTACTGAATTGTAGAACTCTATCATCAAACAGTTTTTCACCATTTCAGTTTTCCTGATATGTTGGGCATGTCAAAAACTATGCCATGAACGGACTTTTGAGCCAGGCATGAGTCGCCTCTCCACCACGATGAAAGAACTTGAGCGCCTTGATTTACATTTGGGTTTTTTGGGGGGCGCAATTGCATTATGCAATTAGCTAGCATTGCCTACACCAATAAGTTGGTAGAAAACATCAAACAACAGTCGATCCCCACTCATGAGACCATTATGCCACTGCCCAAATATATGGAGTCGGTATTTTATCCACAAGCTCAGGCTTCTTCCCAACCCAGTGAATTAATGCTGCATATTTCAATGACTGCATTTGGCAACCAAACATTGGCAGATGGTCAAAGGCAGGTGCAATTTGTATTGCTGCTCCAAAATGTATACAGTATCATTTTGTGACAATGAAGAAAAGTTGCGATACTATGCTTTGCTTGCGAAGCATGATTCTTTGCTGTCCTACTTCCAGGAATCAAAAGGAGTCTTGTGTCCAGGTGATGAGATTGTCACCATTGCTGAAAAAGTGGTGAGCTCCTGTGGGTACCAGGAATTATGTGAACTCATGCATAACCTTCCCACAACACTATCTTTGGATGTTAAAAAATCTGTCTCAGGTACGACCCAAGTCTTCTTACATATTCATAGTTTTTTTTTTGTCTACACACGCGCACGCGCACACACACACACACACACACACACACACACAAACACACACACACGCTCACCCACACACACACCCACACACATTCACATTGGAGAAAAAAACTTAATAAATGGTGAGGGCAGTAGCACGGATGTATTTCTATTTTTAAGATGGCAGTAGCTTAGCCCATAACAACTTGGTTTATGGACCAAGCAAGGGACACTTCTGGATGCCCACAAAATTAATTGTGCATCTTTGGTAACTTGATCTGCGTGTGTGATGCATTAAGACACAGGTGTCAAACTCAAGGCCCGGGGGCCAGATCTGGCCCGCCACATCATTTTATGTGGCCGCGAAAGCAAATCAAAGATGTCAACTTTCATGATGCTTGCTAAAATATCTAACAAAATTTAAAATTCTCATTTGTAATAAATAAGACGGATACTGCAAGCATTTTCTTGTTAACAAACCCCTCATTTCAGTAACTTAAACAATCGGTGAATAAACCGTTATTCTTGACTTCTTTATATAGTTTCCGTCATAATGGCCCTCGAAGGGAAACTGCAACTAAAATCTGGCCCACAAAAAAAAGGAGTTTGACACCCCTGCATTAAGACATTCAGGCAGACAGACACACAGACAGATACATAGATGGATTGGCAGATGAGCAGGCAGATAGATAGATTGATAGACTTTAAAACAGTTATCTTAAAAAAATTATTTCCAGGTCTCAAAACAACCCATTCATGAAGGCCTGTAAGAACACAGATTTGTTTCATTTTCTAGTCAAGTCAGCTTTTATTGTCAAATATGCTCTATGTGTAACATACAGCACAGATGAAATTACTTTCCTCTCTCAACCACAGTGCAAACATGTAGTGCATTCAACACACATAGCTAAAATTTTCGTTAAAATTCCTTGCGTAGGCCACTATTGCAGCAAAACCATGTATGGATGTGTATTTAAATTTTCACGTGGGAAAAAAAAAAATCACAAATCTGTGAAATGAATCTCCAAATTGATACATTGATCTGCAATCAAGACAGATTGCTTAATGTGTACATTGGTCTGTAAATGTGTCATCCCCAATAAATAATTGAATGCAATTCTACCCAGGACTTTTGAAACACTCTTCCAGCCAATTATGTGCAATTGCGTGCAGCAATTTGCACGTGTGGGGGAACTTGTATATGTGCCTCCGTTGTTACACACTAACCACTAAGGCAAGGGGTGTCAAACTCATTTTTGTCACAGTTTCCCTTAGAGGGTCGTTGTGACTGATGTGAATTTTGTGAAACCATATAAATGTTTCATCATCTTCACATATTACATACACAGCGCACAACAAATTGATGGATAACTAGTTTTGAAATCAGAAATCAAGAATAATGACTTCTTTAAACAGTGTTTACGTTAATCTAATAAGGGCTTTGGTAACGATAAAATGCTTGCAATATCTCTGTTAGTATGGATTATATTTGACAATTTTACATTTTTGTTCAGACTTTAACAAGCATCATGGAAGTTGACATGCTTGATTTGCTTTCACGGGCCAAATAAAATGATGTGGCGGGCCAGTTCAGGCCCCTGGGCCTTGATTTTGACACCCGTGCCCTAAGGGATGCAACCACTAGTCACACTGCCCACTGCTGACTGAGCCTGGATGGCATAGACATCTGTGGACGCCACACCGATGGACTCTATGCGCACAACACTTTGGCGTTTGGTCGAATGTGGTGGGTTTACTTCTGGTCGGCCGATAAATTACGTCATCTGAATGAGCCGGTACCTGAGCAATGCAACCGACTCTTTCCAAAATAAATGACAAAAAGAGTGACTGACTTTCATCTGGCTGCATTGATTGAAATACATAATTAAACTTTTGTATTGTTTATGGTTTATGTTTAGAATTTTAAAACATATTTTAAGAAAACAATGTATTGTGTGAGAAAAATACCAATAACCGTGATATGTAATTGCAAATCGCAGTGTTATCAATATATCGTGATATAAATCTAATCATCACACAAGTGTTGTGATTTCAATCGAATCTGGAGGTCGTCTCACCCCTAGTAATGAGTACTGGGTACTACTGTCATGAAATGCGATGTGAAATAAATACAAAAACAGTTGTGGTTTGCGGAACCTTTGTTCTTAACCGCAGTATCATTTCAGCCAGACTACAATGGTTTCCTATGCTCCTGTTTGTCCCAAAGACAAAGAGCCACATGTGATTTTTTAAATGCCTTTGTAAAAACACACACACACACACACACACACACACACACACACACACACACACACACACACACACCCACACACACACCCACAGCAGAATTCTACTCCGTAACCCTGTAATGATGTCTTCCCTTAAATGCTGCCCTAAAATTTAGGTTAAAATCTCCCTTGCTCACCTCCCCAAACCAGCCTCCATGCATCTGGCTATCTATCCATGGTGACTATGTTACATTGCATATTTTGCTATTACTAGTGAATCCTAGCTTCCCCCTGTAGTTTAACTCCCTGCATACAAACGTAAAACAAAGAGTTGCAAAAATGTGTGCATGCTAGATGCCCAGATGTCAAGCCTGTTGATTTCTCTCTTATATTATGCTCCATTTGAAAGGAACATGCATTTGTGAAAGGACGATATATGTTCTATGTTGCAAACTAATTGACTGTAAATAGCTTTTCAGTGTTTGAGGACTTGAAAAATGATTCGAGAGTTACATACTAATTTGTTTGGTTACATGGAATGCATTCCTCTCGAGTCCTCTCTGTGAGTACCATCGTAAAGCATTTTCATTTGTTTTGTTGTGCCGCGCAGTGTACAGGGATCCACAACCGTGTTCCCCCAACAGAGAGATCACACTAATCAGCCTCCCTGGTCTATTCAGGGGTGCTGGAAAGGAGGGTGCGTTGGGAAGTTGAATCTCAGGTTCAGAATGAGCAGTATGGTTTTTGTCCCAGTGGTGGAACAATGGACCAGCTCTACACCCTCAGCAGGGTGTTTTCAAGGGTGCATGGTGTGTGGACTCGTAGAAGGCGTTTGACCGTGTCCCTCAGGAAATTCTGTGGGAGTTGTTTTGGGGGTACGAGTTACCGAACCTCCTGATACGTGCTGTTCAGTCCCTGTACAATTGATGTCTGAGTTTGGTCCGCATTGCTGGTAGTAACTCATTTCCAGTGAGGGTTAGGCTTTGCCAGGGGTGCCTATTGTCACAGATTCATTTCATCAACCTTATGGACTGTGCGGTCAAACCATTGAGGTGGTAGGGGTTGGTGGCCTCAGTATCACGTCTCTGCTTTTTGTATATGATGTGGTAATTTGACTTCATCAATCTAGGATCTCCAACTCTCATTTGAGCAGTTTGCAACTAAGTGTGAAGCAGTTGGGATGAAAATCAGCACCTCCATAACTGAGACTATCGTTCTTAGACGGAAAAGTGTGGATTGCCCTCTGCAGGTCCGGGACGAGATCCTTTGCCAAATCGAGGAGTGTAAATATCTCGGGGTCTTGTTCACAAGTGAGAGAAGAATGGAGCTTGAGATGGACAGGGGAATCGGTGAAGCATCTGCACTGATGCGGTCTCTGTATCAGTCTGATGTGGTGCAGAAAGAGCAGTGCTGAAAGGCAGTGTTCTCAATTTATTTCTCAATCTACGTTCTACCCTGGTCCATGGTCACATGCTGTGGATCCTGACTGAAAGAACAAGATCCCGCTGACAAGCGGCCTCCCTGAGAGAGAGGGTGTGAAGCTCGGTCAGCCGGGAGGAGCTCAGAATCGAGCCGCTGCTCCTCCACATTGTTAGGGGCTGGATCAAGTGGTGTATGCATGGTAAGCATACATAATTTTGTCCCATTCATTGCCAATGGGATTTTATTGGTTTTTGGGAGGAATTGGAGTGCCATGGTAACACTATAATTTAAAAAAAAAAATTGTGCCAAGTGCAACCCCGTCGAGACGCATATTTGTTACGAATGTTCTTGATGAAAAAAAAAAAAAATGTGTGGATACGTCAAAGTGTGACCTTACCGGTGGAGGGATTTGTGTGGTCCTAGGTCATGGATCAGACGAAGCAGAGCTCAGATTTGCCTCTGAAGACAAGCACTACTGGATGACGTTTTCCCTCACAGGGATACTGGTTACTGAGGGGCTGGAGGTGGGGCTGGATGGCACCAGGTGACCAGGCCTGCTTCCCGGGTACAATAAGAAGAGATGTGGGTCTTCGTTCCTGTGGATCACTGGGATCTGGTTGAGCACTTCCACTGGGGAATTCCTCATTCTGCTGAGGAAAACCAATGTTTACAATACGTGGTCAATGCCAGTGAGAGATGGGAAAGTGTTATTAGAAGGAACAGCCCCAGTCCCGAACCTGAGTGGTGCTTTGTTATTGGACTTCTGAGCTCATTATGTATTGTCAATAACATGCACCATGTTCAACCATTAGGGTTTTCATGCATGCACTTGAAAACAGTCGTCTGAATAAGCTGTTAGATAGTCGAGATTTGGCACATAGTACCTTGGTGATGCACACATACGTATCTCACAAATATAGTGTATGTTCCCTCAAAAAGGGATGTCATGTAAAAGGGAAATAAACAGGCTTGACTGCACTATAAAATGGATTGACAAAAAGCATTTGTGCAACAACAAAAAACCTTCCAAACACATTTCCAAACTTTTTGTATTATGTTTAAAATAGTGTAGTTGTAATAAATTTATCATAGCATAGGTGTTGCTATGGAACCTATACATCCAATTTCAATGTGTGTGTGTGTGTGTGTGTGTGTATGTGTGTGTGTGTGTGTGT